CTGAATGAGGTGGTGGTGGTAGAAAGTGCCTTCAAGTCACAACTGATTTCTGGTGATCCCCATAGGGTTTTCAAAGCAAGAGTTGTTCAGAGGTGGTTTGGCACTGCCTGTCTCTGTATATTGACCTTGGACTTCCTTGGTGGCCTCCCATCCAAATACTAACCAGGGCCGACCCTGCTTGGTTTCCGAGATCTGATGGGATCAGGATAGTCTGGGCCATTCAGGTCAGGGCAAATAAGGTGGTAGAATGACATAATGCTGAGGAATGCAATGTACCACCCATACTAGAGATGCAGATTCATATTTTTAAATGACCCTGCTACATCAAAAAATTATCTACAAGTAGAAAACTACCAAATCAGGAAGCAGGTTGGGTTAAAACTTCATTGCCATTTTTTTAAAAAAAATCAAAAGGTTTTATTTTTATATGGGGAGCATTCAAAAATGTCATGTTCTTTCTAGAACCTGACTTGGTGTAGTCCGTTCCGCTGCTTCAGGAATTTGCCACAATATTCTAAAAATGTCACTGGCCATTTCTGTACTATCTACAAATAATTATGAAATTCCAGTATCTTTTGACACCAAATGAAGTATGGAAAACTCATATTATGTGTACATGCCTGCAAATCAAAGCAAAATATAATAGGCTGCATTCATTTTTTGCCCTTTGAGTTCTCATTTAGATGGCATGTGCTAATTTTGGGCAAGCAGTTCAAAAGACAGCGGTGGGAATGTATTTGCAGCACCTCACCTTACCTGGTAATTTGTGTTCTAGTATTGAAGTCAAGAGATCTCATGGAGCGTAGTACCTCTATACATCCCAAATACTATAGGGAGAAAGAAAATTTAAAATGTATATTGTAAGCATAATTGAAAGAAGTTTTATAAAAGAAATATAAAAAGGTAACCTAAAGCCACAATCCGTCTTTTCTTAAGCTCTGTTCTGATGTTTACTGCTCCCCCTTGGCCGGGCACACTGCCACAGTGCTAAGTATCTTGCGAAGCCCAGCTGTTACAAAGGAGTTTCTTTAACATCTAACAAGGAGAGACAGAGTTTGGGTTTTACCCGCAATTTGGGCATGCCACTAGGTGCCTGGTTGTCTCATTAGCTGATCTGGATTCACAAGAGGAGGAGGAGGTCTCCATGCCTTCTAATTAGGAGAAGGAAAGCAAAATATGAAAAGAGTTTTCTCCTTAATTTGTGTTGGGAAATAGGTTGATGCCATGTTCCCCTTTTTTCTAGCCAATGATGGAAGGCTTGCTTTTTTGACCAGGCTTTCGGGAGAGTTTAAATGGGACGCCTATTTTAAGGTGGGGAGGAAAAGAGTGAGAGATCTGGAAATTATTTTATTTTAGTTTTAATTGAAACTGTTTTTAAATGACAGTTATACTCTGCCTTGAACAACAAGGAAAGGTGGGGTAAAATGTTTTAATAAATAAGATAAATTAATTGATTAATATGGCTATCGACACACTGCAGTAGAAATTGGTAGCTTGATATGTGTTTTCTGCTTCATAGGCTTTCACTGATTTCAAAAAGTAAATAATTGTAAGGAAAAGTATCTCATGCCTTCTTGAGCATTTTCCAGTTATTCCTCAAAACAACGCTAATGTAATAAAAATTGACTCTCCCTCTTGGAAAAATACAATAAGACAGTGTTTATCAATACCTTCTCCAGCTCTGTCAAATGTAGAACAGTAGCTCAGACTGCCTTTTCTAACAATGAAATCTGAAAACCATTCTTGACAAAGTACAGAGTATAGAAATAGTACGATGTGCAGCAGTAAACTGTCACATTAACATTTTCAGAAACTCCTGCTCAGAGAAATATATTATAAACAATGTAAACAGCATTCTCAGAATTAGCCGTTTGTAGTGCTGGCACAGAAAACCCCTGAAAAGGCTTGTTGACAGCCAGCCAGCTATTCACTATTCTAAAAATAAAGCTGCAAAATTAGAAATTGCCTCCTTTGGCAGATTTGAATTCATGGCTGTCCGAATGCAATCTGTCTCACTGTTGCATTACAACAGAAAAGAGGAGCCCATCTTCGAAAATTCACCAAGATTTATTCAGGCTGAACTGATCATTTGTACAGCAATGCAATAACATAGAAATGGTTCATTCTATGGGGGGAAATCCACAGTGTTAATTGTAGGCAAAGGAAGTATATGAATTTGTATTAATTCAGATATTATTTGTGAATGTCCACACAGCATGATTGACTTGTGCAAGCCCTACATATGAATTGCTTTCTAATGGAGGCGGATTAAGTATAGCATAGCCCCAGTCAATCATGCTAGTTTAAGGTTGCATTTTACTTTCATTAGAATAAAGAATCCAAACAACTATAAATAATTATTTGGGGAGAAAGTTACAGAGTAGATGCAACTAAAATAGGGCTAGGTATTCATTGTTTAAATTAAATAGTGTTATTAAACTGTCATTGAAATCATAATCCTGAGACCATTGGCAGGAGGGCGGTCAGGTCTTATAGCCAAATCCATGTTGGCTGTATTTCCATGCAACTTATTTGACACAGTGAAAATGCCTTTTCCCCTAGCTATGATATCATATCAGATTGTTAGGTTCTTTACAAATCTGAACAACCAGATTATGATAGGACTTCCAAATAAAAAATTATTAGACTGTCCCCCAAAAAGGAGGAGGAGGGATATTGCTCCTGGTTCCTTAATGTATGTATTTATTTATTTTTCTGCTTGTATACTTTCCCTCCCGAACAAAGTGGGTCTCAGAGCAGTTCACAGCAGTATAAAAACAGAGGCAATAAATATAGATAGTATAAAATACAGAGTATGAAAAGTAAACAATTTACAATGGCTAGCAGTGGATCCAGCATTAAGCCCACAAAATATGGCTGCTCCATAAATCTGGAAATCCACAATGTTACAACCTCTCTTACATGACTATTCCTCCCCCTCATTTTGTCAGCACAATCAATAAACATATGAAGATACTTTATATTGAGTCAGACATTGCTTTCTATGGCTCAATATCATTTCCTCCGAGTGAAGTCTCTCATTACAAAATTTTGGATTACACATACACTGGAAATGTTGTGCTTCCTGGGCAAAGATGGGCCCACGTTTGATCAGGATTGCAGCATGTATGGAGAAGGGGCTTCAGTTCCCCGATCTTTGCACCATTTTCCTGGCCTGAAATGACTCTGGAAAGCTGCTATTTGTCCTGTTAAGAAAATATACCTACAGCCATAATTACACATATGTTTCTCAACAGGCGAATAATGCCCCGTGGAGCCAATTTAGATTTTAAAAAATTAGGTTTGGGGGGAAGGTTGTAGCCCTTCTCTATATGCATCATAGTCCCAGTCCAGATTAAGCACTGGCATACCTGGGAAGCATGGAACTTTCATTGCACAAGGGATCCAAAATCCCAGTGATGGTCACAAAGACTTTGTAACTTGTGAACTGGCCCCTAATTCTGATCAGGCAGAGAAAGATTTTTCCTGACACCTGATGACTTAGATCATTTAGCTAAAGACATTAGGGACAGGATCTGAGTCTTTATGTATGAAAAGTATGTATTCTACCATTGAGAGCATTTTCACATGGCTTTATTGCATCAGTTCTGGCTCCAGAATACTTAAGTTTATCTCCTGGCCTCCACACATTCTCTTCAGTCACTAGTTTCTGTCTTACATTTTTCATGTTTTTCCCCCACTGGGTTTTTTGGGACCATTTCTACTCAGATCATTTTCTAACAACTGGTTTTGAATTGTGCTTGTTCTTGTTTGTGATGTTTCCTGTGCTTTTGTTCCACCCAGGGGTCTTGTTGTAGAAAAAGAGCTGCCGGAGCTCATTAGCATAACTCATTAGCATAACTTATTTGCATATGCCACACCCCCTGACATCACCGGAAGTGACAGAAGGCCACACCCCCTGACATCACCGGAAGTGTGTCAGAAGGCCCGGCTACTTACCCTCCTGCTTCATCCTCATTCCCAAACGGAATGAGGATCGAAGCAGAGGGCGGGGTAAAGAAGGGGGCGGGGCTTCACCACGTGACCGCCCCGCCCCCTAGAGGTTCTCTTCCGGAGCTCCGTACCTGAGGGCTCCCCCCCGACTAGAGCCCTGGTTCCACCCATTTCCAGCTCACTTTTCACTTACTAGACAATCATGATTATGAGACAGCCCCACCATATGTCCCCCATCAGAATAAAAAAATAATTCTTATACATTTTTAATTCAAAACTTTTTAATAGTATGCCACTATACCAATATATTGCTATAAGGTGGCACAGGAGTGGTTATTGCTGCCCCATGCTCATCTTCCTATGTCCCAATTCCCTCCCCCCCACCATGGAAAGATTTTTTTGTCTTCCATAGGTGTAGGCAGGGTTTAAAAAACAAAACAAAACCATACACAAACAGGACAGTGGTAATCAATATAAGATGTGTCTCTGTGCCTCTTCATAAGCCTCCCCTGCACCTTAAAAATGTCTGATGATGATGGGGGTGGTGGTTGGATTTGTTAACCCTTCCTATTTTGGTGAGGTCAAATGGCAATTCCCACACATGGGCATTTTTTGGTACCACAACTGATCAGAGAATTGACATCATGACAATCTTTCAGCCAATCACTGGCAAACGGGTATTGTCAAACCCAGTCAATCAGCTCACATTGCGGGAGGTAACTGTCAAACACATGCAAACCAGTTCCAAAGGTTGTCAATTCAGGTTTGTTATCCAAATCAACAAACTTCATATAAATGGATGAGAAAAACCAGAGTGTATTTGCTCTGAGGATATGTTTCAGACCATTGAGAAGACCAAGTTTACCTGCACAGAAATATGAATTCTGTGCTGTGTTGTAATAGAGTGATATACTCGAGCTCAGATATCAGATTTTAAATCCCCACTTACCCTAGAATTCATTCAGTGGCCTTGGCCCCAGCCTAATAACCCTCACAAGATTGTTATGAGGGAAAAAAGGGAAGAGAAGCAGGAAAGATCGTTGTTTGCTGCTATGGAATCCTTGTAGGAAAGGAAAACAAATAAATATTTATAAGCAATGGCAGTGAGCTTTCTGTTATCTGTACTTCTCTGTCCCTTTCATAGAGTTGGAAGTGACCTCCAGGGTCATCTAGTCTAACCCCCTGCACAATGCAAGAAATTTACAAATCACACACACACACACACACACACACATCCCGTGACTGCTGTTCTATGCCTAGAAGATGACAAAAAACCTCCAGGATCTCCAGACAAACTTGCCTGGAGAAAAATTGTTTCCTGACCCCAAAGTGGCGATAGCATTTCCCTGGGCATGTAAGAAAGGACCACAAGAACCAAGCACTAATGCAACCCTTCCTGTCCTCCCTCTCATGATCTTCCTAAGTTCACACAATCAGCACTGCTGTCAGATGGCCATCTACCCTCTGTTTGAAAACCTCCAAAGAAAGAGAGCCCACCACCTCCCAAGGAAGCCTGTTCCACTTAGGAACTACTCCATCAGGAAGTTCTTCCTAATGTTTAGCCGAAAACTCTTCTGATTTAATTTCAACTTATTGGTTCTGGTCCAACCTTCTGGGACAACAGAAAACAACTCTGTACCATCCTTTTTATGACAGCCCTTCAAGTACTTGGTTATCATATCACCTCTCAGTCGTCTCCTCTCCAGGCTAAACATACCAAGCTCCTTCAACCTTTCCTCGTAGGACTTGGACTCTAGACCCCTCACCATCTTTGTTGCCCTCCTCTGGACACGTTCCAGCTTGTCTATATCCTTCTTAAATTGTGGTGCCCCAAACTGAACACAATACTCTAGGTGAGGTCTAACTAGAGCAG